CTCAATGCCCCAATGCATGACTCCTGTGAGACTAGTGGGACGAGTAGCTCAATGCCCCAATGCATGACCCTGTGAGACTAGTGGGGCTAGTAACTCAATGCCCCAGGGCATGACCCCTGTGAGACTGGTGGGACGAGTAACTCAATGCCCCAGGGCATGACCCTGTGAGACTGGTGGGACGAGTAACTCAATGCACCAATGCGTGGCCCCTCCGTGAGACTAGTGGGACGAGTAACTCAATGCACAAATGCATGACCCTGTTAGACTAGGGGGACAACTAACTCAATGCCCCAAGGCATGAGCCCGTGAGACTGGTGGGGCGAGTAACTCAATGCCCCAATGCTTGACCCCCGTGAGACTAGTGGGGCGAGTAACTCAATGCCCCAATGCATGACCCCTCCGTGAGGCTTGTGGGACCAGTAACTCAATGCCCCAAGGCATGATCCCTGTGAGACTATTGGGACGAGTAACTCAATGCCCCAATGCATGACCCCTGTGAGACTATTGGGACGAGTAACTCAATGCCCCAATGCATGACCCCTCCGTGAGGCTTGTGGGACCAGTAACTCAATGCCCCAATGCATGACCCCTCCGTGAGGCTTGTGGGACCAGTAACTCAATGCCCCAATGCATGACCCCTCCGTGAGACTTGAGGGATGAGTAACTCAATGCCCCAATGCATGACCCCCGTGAGACTATTGGGATGAGTAACTCAATGCCCCAATGCATGACCCCTGTGAGACTAGTGGGATGAGTAACTCAATGCCCCAATGCATGACCCCTCCGTGAGGCTTGTGGGACCAGTAACTCAATGCCCCAAGGCATGAATCCTCCGTGAGACTAGAGGGATGAGTAACTCAATGCCCCAATGCATGACCCCCGTGAGACTAGTGGGATGAGTAACTCAATGCCCCAATGCATGACCCCCGTGAGACTAGTGGGACGAGTACCCCATGCCCCAATGCATGAACCCTGTGAGACTAGGGGGATGAGTAACTCAATGCCCCAACGCATGACCCCTGGGATGAGTAACTCAGTGCCCCAATGCATGCCCCCCGTGAGACTAGTGGGATGAGTAACTCAATGCCCCAATGCATGACCCCCGTGAGACTATTGGGACGAGAACTCAATGCCCCAATGCATGACCCCTGTGAGACTAGTGGGATGAGTAACTCAATGCCCCAATGCATGACCCCTGTGAGACTAGTGGGATGAGTAACTCAATTCCCCAATGCATGACCCCCGTGAGACTAGTGGGATGAGTAACTCAATGCCCCAATGCATGACCCCTGTGAGACTAGTGGGATGAGTAACTCAATTCCCCAATGCATGACCCCCGTGAGACTAGTGGGATGAGTAACTCAATTCCCCAATGCATGACCCCCGTGAGACTATTGGGACGAGTAACTCAATGCCCCAATGCATGACCCCTGTGAGACTAGTGGGATGAGTAACTCAATGCCCCAATGCATGACCCCTGTGAGACTAGTGGAACAAGTAATTCAATGCCCCACGGCATGACACCTGTGAGACTATCCCGGGAGACTATTGGGATGAGTAACTCAATGCCCCAATGCATGACCCCTGTGAGACTAGTGGGATGAGTAACTCAATGCCCCAATGCATGACCCCTGTGAGACTAGTGGAACAAGTAATTCAATGCCCCAAGGCATGACCCCTGTGAGACTAGTGATACAAGTAACTCGATGCCCAAGGGCATGACACTGTGAGACTAGTGGGACGAGTAACTCAATGCCCCAATGCATGACCCCTCCGTGAGGCTTGTGGGACCAGTGACTCAATGCCCCAAGGCATGATCCCTGTGAGACTATTGGGACGAGTAACTCAATGCCCCAATGCATGACCCCTGTGAGACTATTGGGACGAGTAACTCAATGCCCCAAGGCATGACTCCTCTGTGAGACTAGCGGGACCAGTAACTCAATGCCCCAAGGCATGACACCTCCGTGAGACTAGTGGGTCCCATCTACGTCAAAAACATAATGTCGCACAGCTTGTTAGAGTGAGAGCTTGTTCTTAAAGGGTTTGCCGAAGCAACACTAAGCTACTGAGATAAGATAAAATAAGATTATATACTTTTATGGGGGGGGGGGGGGGGGGGGGGGAGACTGCAATCAGGTTAGAGGGGAAAAAATTAAATGATCATAAAAAAACTTAAAGAAAGTGTGTGAAAATCTGAAAAAGGAACGCAAGAAAACAACGAACGTGTCGGCAGGAAGCCTTCGTCAGCTAACTAACAATGCCTGTATTTAATCTCCCGCCTACTTATTTCCTGTCTTTTGCTGCCCTGTCGGATACTACTTTTCAGCTAAGTGCTCTTTCTTATTTGAAAACTTTTTTTCTGGTGTTTCTGCATTGTGTTTGATGTATGTGATGTGTATTTAATGTGTTTGATGTGTGTTTGATGTGTGCTTGATGTGTATTTGATGGTATTTGATGTGTTTTTGGTGTGTTTTTTATTTATGTGATGTGTGTTTGATGTATGGGATGTGTGTTTAAGGTATGTGATGTGTTTTCAATATGTTTCATGTGTATTTTATGTATGTGATGTGTGTTTGAGGTATGTGATGTGTGTTTGAGGTATGTGATGTGTGTTTGAGGTATGTGATGTGTGTTTGAGGTATATGATGTGTGTTTGATGAGTGTGACGTGTGTTTGATGTGTGTGATGTATTTTATGCATGTGATGTGTGTTAGATGTGTATTTGATATATGTGATGTGTTTTTGATGTTTGTTTGATTATGTGATATGTGTTTGATGTTTGTTTGATTATGTGATGTGTGTTTGATGTGTTTGGTGTGTGTTTGATTTCTTTGATATGTGTTTGTTGTATGTTTGATGTATGTGATGAGTTTTGCTGTTATTGATTGGTGTCTGATGTATGTGATGTTTATTTGACGTGTATTTATGTGTATTTTATGTGTGTTTGACGTGTGTTTGACGTGTGTTTGACGTGTGTTTGACGTGTGTTTGACGTGTGTTTGATGTGTGTTTGATGTGTGTTTGATGTGTATTTGATGTGTATTTGATGTGTATTTGATGTGTGATTTATGTGTATTTGATGCGTATTTGATGCGTATTTGATGTGCATTTGATGTGTTTTTGATGTGTATTTGAAGTGTATTTGAAGTGTGTTTGATGTGTGTTTGATGTGTGTTTGATGTGTGTTTGATGTGTATTTGATTTGTTTTGATGTGTATTTGATGTGTATTTGATGTGTGTTTGATGTGTGTTTGATGTGTGTTTGATGTGTGTTTGATGTGTATTTGATGTGTATTTGATGTGCGTTTTATGTGTGTGATATGTATTTGATGTATATTTGATCTGTGTTTTATGTGTGTGATGTGTGTTTCATATGCATTAGATGTGTATTTGATGTGTATTTGATGTGTATTTGATGTGTGTTTGATGTGTGTTTGATGTGTAATTGATGTGTATTTGATGTGTGTTTTATGTGTGTGATGTGTATTTGATGTGTGTTTTATGTGTGTGATGTGTATTTGATGTGTATATGATATTATTGTGTGTATTTGATGTGTTATGTGCATTTGATGTGTATTTGATGTGTGTTTGATGCATGATGAGTGTTAATGTGTGTTTGATGCGTGGTGCCCTGTTTTCTTGAAGAGTCCTAGCTGATACCCTAGTCTTTATTTCATCCCCCTCCTAGAGCGGGAACTTCCCGAGCTTGGGCCAACCAGGTGCATCCTTTTTGGGGAACGGCTTGAACAAGTCTAAACTGTGTTTCTCTATTTAACTACAAGAATTTTTAAAAGGTCAAATTTTTTACTATTTTTTATTTTTTAAAATTAATAATTTATTAATTTTACTTTTAATTATTTTTTTTTTAGTTTGGGACAAAGTCAAATTCAGATTGAATAACACGTCTGGAAATTATATTATATCATGTAACCTCTTAATAATTTGAGTACTTTGACGGAGCCGACATTGAATAAACATCTGGGGAGATTTGTTCTTAGTTTCACCGTCGTAGCTAAACATTTGTGCGAAACAAAAATAAAAGGGAGGCTATATACATTTCCTTTTTTTTCGGTAATACCCTCAGTTTTCTCCCTTAGCTTGCCAATTTCTCGACTTCAGGTATCGCTTTCGTGGTGTTTTTGATGCAAAGGGAGTGCATGCTGTTCATGCACAAGTGCATCTCAACTTCAAACAAGACAGCTTGTATAGGTTTATGTTACACAGATAACTGAAAGACATTTCAAGCAGACCTTCTTCTCCACTTTAAAGTGCAAATATAAAAGTGCATTGTCAGCGCATTGTTTTATAATAATAATATATGAACATCAAACAAATTAAAACCGTTGTATTGCTAGTTTTCAGCCATATCATATACTTTATAACTATATAAATAAGTTTAGATCGTATGACACGAAATTACTTCCTAATACCCGATGGCGCGCTATACCAATTACATAGGTAGAAATTAACAAAATTTGTTTTGCCAAACAAAACATTATAATATATTAATATATATTGAGACATTGCTATAATGCTAAAGAAAGAGATGAGTTAACATGATTTACAGCACCACTCCTGCCAGAACTTTTGCGAGCAATTCGGGTGGTAGCTGGCGATTTGAGGGCACGTGCTAACGCTCTGGCCGAGCACTTGCGGGGAATCTCCGTAAGGGCAGTCGTCTTGCATGTTGGCCACACCATTGGATGCGGCCACGCACTTGCCGTGGAAGCAGCGCTTGCTCGCCCCACATGCCGTGCCCTCAGCCATCTCGATAGACAGCCAGTAGAGCATGTTGTTTTCGTATTTCTGGTGGCACGAGAGCTGGGTGCAGAAGTTGTCCCCGTACGTCGTGTACGCCAGCCGGGACAGATACGTCCCGAGAAATCTCTTGCACTGGTGTTCGGCGTCGATCAGCTCCCCGAGTCTCGGCGCAGCGACGGCCTGAACCGTCGTGTGCTGGAGGTTGACGCAGTTCGGGTTCAGCGATTGCAGCCTGGCTTTGATCTGGTTTGCCGAGCAGCTTGAGAAGAACCACTTGTTTTTGGTGGCCGGGTGTTTGTTCGGGCTCATGAGATATTCTTGGTTTGGGTCACAGTTGTTCCCATCCCCGTCGTGCTTGCTGCCCAGGCTGTGGCCCAACACGTGAGCCCCCTGCATGGCCGCCCTGTAATCCGTCGTCGCCTCGACCACGGATATCCCGGTCTGTTTACAGACGTCGCCGATGTAAGCGTACCCCATGACGTTCGTGTTGCCGTTCGTCTCGAGGTCGTGGACGGTGAAGAACATGGCGTGGTCAAAGCTGATGGACTGAGTGGTCACCCAGCTGTGGAACTCCTGCAGCGCAGCGTCAGAATCGACTTGATTCCCGTTGATAGCTTTATTCGCGTGAATGATGTCCGCGTTCAACAGGAGAATGTTTAAGAGACGCACCTCCACGTGCAGTCCGTAAGTAGCCAGCGACTTCCATATTTCGTTGATCTCAACAAAGACACTGCGGACCTCCTGTCTTACTTTCTCTAACGTTCCAGCGTTCGCCAGCCATTTCTCCTTGGCAGATTTGTCCACCACGGCCAGAACTTCGACCACGTAATTTTGAGCGTCCACCGCCGACAGAACTGCAAGGAACGGCAGAATCAGAAGACACCAGACCTTCATGATTAATCGTAGTTGGATGTCCGGCAAAACTATGCGTATGTGGGAATGATGTTAAGTTGTGCAGCTTATAAATGAGTGCATCGCAGTCTACTGTTTGTCCTGCCTGTGCTACGAACTGTTTATTTAGAGTAATCGTGTTTGCAGATGCGGTCAGGTGTTGAATGGGGGCCACCTGTCCCAACATAACCCATTATCAGAAAAGTGTATTGGAAATTAATCTTGCGAAATATATATACATGTGAACATTAAAATAACGTGTCCATAAATTATGAACCTTTTGTTTGCCTTTGTTATGTAACTGAACGAATGCTTGTCCCTCTGATCAATGGTGGGAAATTGAACCACTTAAAGGCAACTATCGCAAGCTTTCATAAAATTCTGATATAAATTATTACGTACTGTAATCAGTGTAGAGAAATTAATCTCTTATTTAAGTAAATGGCTCGTTCTTAAATAGTACAGACAAAAGACGATACCATACATTAAATACAATAACAAAGAATACGATACTCAAACCAAGGCTAAATACAATTAAAAATTTTTATTATGATAATTATAAATTACAAAATCAAAAGAAATATGATTAAAGCTATTGACGTAAAGTATACTGATTGGTTTGTACCGGTACAATGTTGAAGAAGATACAATGTTGTAATAGAGGTACAATGATGAAAAGGAACAAATCTCTGTCTCGAATAATAAAGCTTCTTAGGGAAAAATAACACACGCTCAAAATGTCTCTCGTCTGATCTTCCGCTCAAACTCTCTAGGCGTTTCTATAGCCTGTTTTATAGACTTACGCATTGTATTCCTTCTCGATATTTCTACATAATTCTACAAAATTCTATTAATAATACAGACCATAGATTTTAGTTAGCTGTAACCAAGGTCAAGGGAGACTATTTTTAGTTTTAGCCACACCCTAATAGCGCTGCCAAACTTGGGCTCAGCTTAAGTTCATTCACCAGGGAAGATAAATAAAAGTAAACGAGACGCTTATAACATAGATGTTTCATGGTTTAAAAAAAGATAATTACTAAAAAAACACGAAAAACACTTCAATTATTTTTAAAAAATGAAATACTTACGGGCAAAGTACCAATAAAATAGTACATATTTAAAAATGCATTAATTCTACTCGATATCTGAATAGATGATACGTTTAATTAAGTTCTTATTTTAAAAAAAAAGATAAAGAGCCACAGAGATAAACAGAAAAATAAACTGAACTGAACGATCCAAATAAATAATAAAAATTAAATTATCCCGAAAAACAACAACAAAAACAACAGAAAAGTTTCTTTCCTGCCTGATTAAGTGTGTCCATAAGATGAGAAATGGATATGTTTACGCGAGGAAGAGACGGAGATAATGGGAGCGCGAAACGAAATAAAATGGAATAAGTAATTAATTCTGTTCAACAGCTCATGTAGCAAGTAAGAAGGAAAACAGATTGAACGCTGGGCATATAATCACATTGGGAAATCCCAGAGCAAGGCCAAAAAACCAACGAAAAAATTTCTATCGCGTCTGGGTTGAACCTAGTACAATTTTCTAATCAGCTTTTTTTTTTAGGTCTTGTTTTATCTAGCTTCTGAAAGGTCCGAGATTACACTCAAGCAGCAAGGGGGGCATTCTTAAAGCTCAAGAAAAGTCCCCCTTAAACCGATAAAATGTGCTCGGGGTCTGACTTTGTTCTTAGTCAAGCTTTGGTTAAAAATGAAAAAAAAAAAACAAAAATAAAAAATTAAAAAACAACCCCCCCCCCCCCCCATATCTTCATGAGGATAATTCAAAATGAAGATGACTCAACTGTGTTTTTCTTAGTAATACTTACCGTTCATGTTTTTTAACAGTTTTTTAGGCTATAAGGGTTAGGGCTATGAAAAACGCTAAATCATGATCTTGTAAAACAAAAAAAAATCACTCTGCTGATAGATCCTAATTCTTTTATTTATACCATCCAATATTTGGCTCATTTTGAGCTTCTTGTCGGGTTTCATGTAAAACATTTTTTTTTCAGAAATATTATGGAAAAGAAATTGACGCTATTCATCGAAAACAGAATTTATTTGAGATTGAGGTTGCTAGGTCTCGCGTTCCCCCCCCCCTTTTTAGCTTTATACCCGCATTCCCATACTTTCGCATAGTAAACAGATTTTTAAAAAAAGAGAAATGTTTTCTACAATACATTGATCGGAGACATTTTCCTGGTATGAATGTGCTTTGAAGAATTTTAAATGTCTAGCAAATTTTCCGCTGCTAGCGAGAGGCGCCTTCGCTGCTTAGATCATGCAAGGAAAATATAGAGGAAAGGGCCGTATCCCAAAGGGAGCTGCTGTAGGGAGCGTTGGTAGAAGGGACAAGACTTATTGGGGGTGGCCACGGCTGCGATTTATTGAAGTTATCAATAGGAACACGGGGGAAAGCCAACAGAGAAATCAACGAATGGGAGATCATCGCTGAGCGACGTTCTAGCTGGCAAACAGCAGTGTATGAAGGAGTCGAAAAGACAGAACAACGCACGAAAACGAAGACCTTGCAACAAAACAATGAGCTAACCGGAAGGCCAAATCTAACCAGGAGTCAAGATTCTCCTGCGAGAATTGCAGCCGAGACTGCCATTCCAGGATCGGCCTAGTGAGCCATTTGATGAAGTATACATTGCCACTTCTTCGTCTCTTGAAAAGGCAAGGATGCTATATATATATATATATATATATATACATACATATATATAATATACATACATATACATTTTTTTTTAGTAATTGGAAACAATGTTTACTGATACACACACCTGACATCTCTACGTCATATTCGCATGTTTCCATATTCATTGTGCCCACGGATCTATTTGTATAACAAAAACAAGATCACAAGTAGACCGCCGGTCATTCTCCCGTTTTGCGTAGTGATTGTAGTTCTCCATTATTTTTGGTCAATAGTTGTCTAGAGCAGATGTTGACCACTATGTTCAAGGACTGTAGAAGTAGCATCTGAGTTTCAAGCACTCGGTATTATCGGAAAGGCAGCACAAATCATTGCCAGAAATCGTGTGTTTACAAATATTATGTATATACGAATATGCGAGTGTGTTTACAAATATTGTGTACATCCGAATATGGGAGTGTGTTTACAAATTATGTGTATCCGAATATGCGAGTGTGTTTACAAATTATATTATGGATATCCGAATATGCGAGTGTGTTTACAAATATTATGGATATCCGAATATGGGAGTGTGTTTACAAATGTTATGTATATCGGAATATGCGAGTGTGTTTAGAAAATACTATACCTGGACGTCATCTGATGAGAATGCTTTTAAAAACCTCATTGACAGAAGGGCAAGTAGGGGCAAGTAGGGCCAAGTAGGGGACTTCTATGGTAAAAAAAAAAAAGATAGAGAACACTCGCCTTCAAAAGTGTCAGTGCCAGCGCGTCATACAATAACTTTTACCACACTTCGACTCCGATTATGCGTGTAATACTCAATCATATGACGTAATGACAAGGTTTTTTTTAGTGCCGCTACGCATTACCCAAACCATGGCGTACATGGGTTTATTTAACGGATATCAGTTTCTACAAAAATTGAAATTTTGCCTTCGAGTTGACATCTCTCTAATAGCCTGAAGCTTTGTGAATGGATTTTTCAGCATCATCTGCCGTGTGTTCAAAGGTTATATTTTAAATCAAATCTAAGAAAATGGGATTCTTTCCACGCACTTATAATAAACTTGCCCCTTTTCTTTTCTGCCATGATCACTCAAGTCACAGGGCAGTTTCTAGATCTAGGTGTTTAACCGTGATATACCAACGGGGACGATAATTCAAAATGGGCCCCTACCCTTATTTTGTATACTCATGGGCTCAAATTTTTTTTTGTGTGGCTATTTTTTTATATTTTTTAAAGAAATATTCCGCTTTTTTGCAGTCCCTAAAATGTTTTCGTCCTAGGTGGCTGCCCAATCTTGCGTATTGGTAGAAACGGCCCCTGCCAAGTCGTGCCCCTTAAGGAAGCAGGAGAGGTTTATTTGATTGTAGTGTCAGACTTGTATAAATGTTGCTTTTTTATACTTATGAGGGCATTACCCGAAACGTGTACATTCGTATTTTGTAAATCATCATTAAAGCTGAACGTATGGTGTTTTATTTTCACATATTGTTTGTGTCTGATCAATCAGTATCAGACTTGGTATGGCTTCTTGTTGCTACGAATTTAAGACTTAAAAATAAATACATTCATCTATGAAGGAATTTTGTGGATTATTTAAAAAAAAAATTGTTCTTATTGAAAAGTTAAAGTATCACATCAATTTTAAAAAAGAATGAAAGATCTATAATCGACTGGCCAGTGGTGCATGGCACGTACCGTTGAGTGAAAGCACTTTAGACGCAAGGCTAAACTGGATCCTTATAACCTCGAACTGGAAATAAACCAGATGTTGCCTTAAAAAAATAATAACTTTACTTCAGAAAGCAATGAAACAAAACTCTATTTAATTTTCTAAATAAGAGAATCTTGTTTTATTTATTTTTTTATATGGGGGGGGGGGGGGTTGGGGGGGGGGGGATGGGGGTGGAATGTGATGGGAAAGAAATCTCAGCAGAGGCTATAATCGAAA